ATCTTGGAAGCAATCTAAAGTCACTAGAATCTGAGATCCACATTTGATGCTAGCTGCTATGCTTTTTTACATGATTCGTATCATATAAAGAGAAGAAATAATTGATGTAATTTTAGTATTCCATTTTCTCTTCACCAGCTTCTATCAACTATTATTCTTCTCCTTTTCCTACTAATGGGATGGGAGGGAAGGAGATCTGATAGACCCCCAAACCCTCTCTCCCAACCTGGAAGGATCCCATGAGCTCTAAACATATATTTCAAATTGTTTCTATCTCCCTGGATGCCTTATAGGGGTTTCAAATTTAACTTACATAAATTGAGCACTGGGTAATATATAGAACTGTTAAATCACTATATATCGATATACTTATATATACATATAGAACTTTATATATATATATATATAGAACTATTATATAACTATATATCTATATATCACAATATATAAATATATATAAATATAGAAAATATATATAAATATATAAAACCATTAATATCACAATACATAGAACTGTTAAATCACTATGTCGTTCACCTGAAACTAACAACACTGTATATTAACTAGACTGGAATTAAAATAAAATTTTAAAATACAGTTAAAAAAACACAACTCATTTTTTGGCAATATTATATGTCTTTTATATTCTCCACATCTCTAACATATTCACCATTTACCTAATGGCCTATCCTAGCTGGCCAGGATTCATGTATAGTCCTTTTTCACCCTCCACAATAAGTTACCGTGTCTGAATAACACTTGAAGTTGCCCATCGACCCCCTTCATTACCACTTTCTTCCCCGGATTCCAGGCCTCCCATTTCTGCATCTGGGCTTCAGTAACAACATCTTGCTTTGTCTCTCTGCGTCCAGCAGGGAAGATTCTGGGTCATCTGCCACCCAGACATCCAGGCAATCTTTCTAAACCGCAAATCTGATTCTGTCTCATTCCATCTCTCCCAACCTTCCTACTTCATGGTTACAAAAAACTGGTCCTGTCCTATCCTTTCTCCATACCAGCGTCTTTCTTCAGCAGATGTGCCATTGCTGAGCCATCATGAGAGCTCTAGGACACCACGTTCTCTCAGGCTCATTCCCCCACAGAACGGACGCTCACAATCTCTCCCGTAGGCACTCCTGCCTCCCATGTGCAATTTTTTGCCGATTTCCCCATTTTATAAGCACTGTTTGGTTTCAATTCTTCCTAGCTCTACACATGCCTTTCTCCTAGAATTTATGATGCCAGAACACAGTAATTGCTTGTGTTTTTTGTGTCCTCCCATAACACTGAACTGTGGGCACCCTGAGGACAGGGCTGGTCTCTGGGTCCATTTCATATCTGTTTCATGTAGCAGAGTATCATTTATGAATTCAATAAGTATTTGTGGATTAATAAGTGTTCAATAAATATTTATGACTAACATTACATGAACGAAGACAGGGAAACATTTTAAATGACAAATATTACCTGAAACTTATAAAATTCCTATTAATTAGAGACCATCAGTATGACCTGTATTTCCCATGGGCTGCCTGGCCTTTCATGATCCAGAACCCCGAGTTACCCAGGGTCACTTCCACTGTACCTGACTTGCCAAGTATTTGTAAGCCCACCCAGATTTGAGGGGAGGGTACACAGACCCAAACTTGGAATAGCAAGTGTCCGAAAAACTCAAATCCATTTAAAACCATGGTCACCATTCGAAGATGTTAGTGAATTACTTATTTTGAAGACATATAAATAAAACAAATCTGTTATCCTGCTTTTCCTATACCAATTATGTAACCAAGTAGCCAATGATGGGTGAAATTGCTCTTTATATAAATATTCCAGTTAATCAGTGAAAAAGGATAGAATTAGAATATCACTATTCTGCCAATCTCTAATGATTGCTGGATCCAGACAATGCTCATCAGGGACTACTAGTCACACCAGAGAGACAACTAGATATTACCTATCCTCTTCCGGAAGAAGGAAACACTACCCACAAAGTAGATTTGGGGGGTGGGAGGATGAAAATGATGTATCCACATCCAACCAGCAACTTAAAGAAACAGCAAGAGAGAGGATCACGTTAGCTGACAGCTCAGGAATAATCAGCACAATTCAAACTCAGGGAAATGTTACAGGATGAACAGCCTGGTTACTTCGATAAGTAAATGAAGAAGGTAAAGAGATGGGCAGAAACCTGTAGATACATAAGAGTCACGTTAATCAATTACAATGAATAAATTTTACTTGGATCCTGGTTCAAACTCACAGAGCACAAGGACGCAAGGGACATTTGCAAGACAACTGGATGTTTGAGCACTCAGTAAATGGTTAATATTCAGATGCTACTGCCTTAATTTTTTTCAGATATAAGGCATATAGTTGTGTTCATAAGTCTTATCTTCTAAAAACACATACAGAAATATATATAAGTAAGTGATATAATGCCAGAGATGTGCTTCACATTAATATAGGGGAGGCGGTCAAGGTAGGGACAGAAAGAAGATTGCCCATGTGTTGAACATTACATACTGTTATAAGCTAGGTGATGGCACGTGAGGGTCAATATATTATTTTGTCTATTTTTATACTGTGCTTTTCTCATAACAAATACTTATTTAAAAGCACATTTTGCTATTTCCCCATTGACCTTGGAACAAAGTCAAAACCTCTAGATGAATCCTATAATCACTCCATGATCTGGTCCTTGCTTAAGTACTCTCACTTTTCACCTCCATAAAATGAATTACAGTTCCCACAGAGGACTAGGATCTCTCATACTTCGGAGTGTATGGAAATTTCTCTTTCTACAGAATGCCCAATCCTTCTCTTCTTCTCCTGGCAAAATGCATTCACTCTGCCACATTTGCTCAAGCCAGCTACAGGTATCAATCTCTCTGCTGTGTGGAAGACACACACTGGAGTGATGGATACCCACCGCCTGCCACTCCTGGCTGGCACTCCACCCTTTCCTGCCCTCCTTGCCCTGTGAGCCTGACCTACTCAGACTTTATCAGTAGCTGCTTGTCCCCCGGTATCTGGTTAGACTTCTCCAGAGGTAGGCACCAGTGGAAGATCTACAGGGCCAAGAAGAGTAGGGTGACTCTATCTAGGGCTCTAGTTCCCTCCCTGCCATGCTGGCAATGACTCACTGCTTCCATGTAGCAAACACTACTCCTATCAGGTGGTCCTTCCCAAACAGCCCTTCTGCTGGTGCAGCTGACTGCTTCTTTACCTTTGGACGTTCAGCTCAGGAATATACCACCACCCATCATTCCCTCTCACAAACCAACTTCACTATTTGTCGGGTCCCTATACAAACTTTCCTCCAGTTACCCTGTGTCAGTTGGCTATATCTTTCCTGTTCAGACACTATGCATTTGTCAACAAAAATAACCCAAGCAAGACTATAAAAAGGACCTGACATAGATATGGATTGAGAAATTATAGAAGATGGAGAATCAAAGAATATTTTATAGAGAAAAAGCCTGTGCAATGGTCCTGTGGTGCAAAAGCAGCAAGAAATGTTCAAAGCTAAGCTTGACTTGGGAGGCTACTTGAGCTAGAAAGCAAAGAGGGCAGTGGAACGGCTGAAGAATCAGAGAGAAATAATCTTGCAGGCCTATATTTCGATTCTGATACTGAGAGCAGTGGGAAAGTATCTAATATTCTCTTTGCCCCCCAGTCTCCCACCCCAAGCCTAGGTGAAGGATCATCTTCTCTTCCACATTCCCTGACAGTCTTCTCCGACATAGTTAGGAGTAGGAAGCTCTGACACACTGGTAAATACTCCATAAATATTCACTGAATCCATGAATAAATGAATGAGTAAAACACATAGGGCCAGATTTGAGCCTTTTTTTGGTTGCTTCCAAGAATTCTTCCTTGCACACATCCTTCTTGAATTTATGCCTACATTTGGTCTCAGCAGAGTCTTTGCCTGTAATTAGCATACAGACCTTTGGAGAGAAAGAGCTAAACGTGAGCTAGGACCTGAAAATAAGATCAATGCCAGAACAATCTTCAACACTCAACAATCATTTCACCCCAGAGAGGGCAGATTTCAGGAGCAGCATCGCCATCTTGGGTGACGGACACTCTTGCCACAATCACAAGAGGCTATTCTGTCTGATCTAGTAACCTGAGGTGATTAAGGAAAAGTCAGTAGGAATCCACAGGATGAATGACAAAGAGAGCTGTTTTGTCTTGTTTAGAGCAAGGAATACAACCCTCTTACCTTCAAGGCATAAGGCATAGCACAAACCATGTGCGAACCATGGACTGCAAGGAAAAGCTTTTAACTTTTTAATTCGTTTTATAAACTGATAGGGTGGCCTGATTTACATCAGGTAAGATGATAAGTGTAACTTTTAAATGGTTTCCTCATCATTCAATAAGTTGAAATACATAGCTAAAACCTGCTTGAAATTTCCCTTACACTATAATTCACAATTTAATGCAAGCAAACAAAATTAAAATGCAAAGGTGATCTCAACACTGTAGCAAATGAATATTCATCATTGTCACAATAATGATGTCTTTCTTTATTCAGGTATTTTGTGATAATGGAGACAGCCACCTCATTCTTAAGCAGGCATGAAAAAGATGACTGCGCACGACCACTTTTCTTTCTACTTAAACAAAGGTAGGTCCTCAGTGAAACAAAAAGCTATCAAATGGCAAGGTTTCTGCAATGCCGCTGAGATATGTCTGGGGCACAATGCTCTTTAATTTCCCTAAAAATGCTGCATTTCATTCTGGTAGAAAATTAATCAGGAAAATTAAAATTTGTTTAATTTTGAAAATCAAACAATTCAGCATCAATCACCTTAGTGACATAAAGAATTATCTTCTGTTCTTGTTCTCCCCAAGCAATTCTATATTGCATAAAATTGATCAATTTGTAAAGTAGGAGAGAAAAATTTAAGGCCACAACCCAGAAGTCTATGAGATGAATAAACTCTGGAACTAAAATGTATTTCATTTCAATAAAATATTGCATTGCTCACCAAAGAGGCCATAGTGAATCCAATGACTTCAATATAACCATCATCATGACGCTGAGGTTCAAAGTCATGGTGATCTCCTGGGTTCCCCCAGGGCATTGTGCCGGCACAGTATCTGCAAGATAAGATTAAAAACAGAATTAAATTTATTCCATCACTCTTACGATTGTCATTAGGTATTACCTTAGAGGGAGATCCAACGTGTATCTCGCCTAAGAACAGTTTTCTGTTCTTGGTGCACACCTTCTGATCGAAATAAAAAAGTGGACTTATCATGTCCAAATACCCATCTGTGTAAATGGGCCACAATTTTATAGCAAAAGCATCTCATGGTGGCCAAGTGTCTCCTAACTCATTATTTATTAACATTTATCCCTCAGTGATCCATTACATCTGTTTTCTATGATATGCCATGAGTTACCCATGGGCGGTTCCAGAGTTTGGTCTTGGAGGAAGACACTGCATGCCAGGAAATGGAGGTGGGTACACAGTGGTCATTATGTACATAGCTAAGATAACAACCACTGGTAAGGTAAGCAGACAAAGGTAGGTGAGGAAGAGTGAGACAGGTATGAAGAAAAGATGAGAGATGGAGAAAAAAGAAGGAGAAATAAAGGAAATTGGAAGAGGAATGATGAGAGGGGGAGCAAGAAGAAAAAAAGAGAAAAAAAAATTAAAGGAGCTAATGTCTCCTGAGAAAATAATGTTTTCTGAGAATCTAGGTCTTTTATGGAAATAATGAAGATGAAAATCCTTCTGGAATAGGATTGTAGGTGACTATACTGAGCTTTGCCAAAAGTAATCAGGAGACTATGTTTTCCTAGCCTTAGATTTACATACAATTCTCATTTCCATTAAATTCAGTCTAAATAGAACTTTTCTGCAGATTTTGTGTCCGGAGTTGGGTGGTTTGCAAGTAACAAAGAGTCATAGATTCATCTCCTCCAAAATCTTGGCTTGGGAGCCCAGACTTTAATTTTGTACCACTGAGAAAATGTGCTTATTTTGAGTCTAGTTAATCTTAAATTTCCCTTTCTCCTGAGGTATATAATAGCACCAAATAGAGTTGACATCCTGGCTAGAAAATGCTACTCTAATTGATCCTATTTTTTTCAAAGCAATCATCTAGCAACTATTTTGAATGAGTTCCATGCTAAAATCAGGTTGGATGGTTTCCTAACAGCTTTCGGGAAACTGAGAACAGGGATTTATTCAAGTCTATTATCCTTGGGAGGTAGGGGCAATCAGTAATTGAGAATTGTATTAAAATGTTCCAGTAAATAGGGGCGCCTGGGTTTCTTAATGATGGATAAGTGTATAGCACACATGCCACATCGCATTAAATAAAAACCCCACCCACCACAGAGAACACTAACAAACTGAGGAGGAGGACAAAAGGATCAGACCTGGAAACCCCTAATGAGCCAGTAAGATACCTTACTTTCACCGTTTGTGCCCTGGACATTTTCTGTAATGAAAACCGATAACCTCAAGTCAAACGGAGTTCACATCAAACCAAAGAAAAAGGATGAACAGAGCTTACCTGGGTATATTTAAAAATACTATACACTGGAACTTCAGTTCCTGAATCTTTGGAGTGAGATCTGTTCCATCACACTGCAACAGAGAAGAGAAAGGGGTTGGAAGTAGTCATGTGTCTAATATATATGTTATATATAATTACATATCTACATATGTGTAGATATTAATATATAGATATATATAATACATATATGTATATGCACATATAATATATATGTAATGGTCTTCCCCTTGTCCTCAGCTCTGCTTGAGCGAACGCCTGTGACTACAACTGAAAACGTTATCGTGATTTTATCTTCAGCAGACCCAGGGTTCAGAGCATGGTTTTGTTCTGGTATAAAAACAAAGCTGCCATTTGACTAAAATGATTTTTCTCTGGCTTCATAAGCAAAGGAACTGCTGTCATTCTTAACCTTGGATTATTAGATATTTTGACTTGCAGTATCAACCAAAAGATTTATGAACGTTTAAAGGAATAAAAAAGGAAGCCTCAAGTTCAGGCAGTAGTGATCTCCACCACAGTTACCCAGGATGGTTATTTGCTTTCTGAGATCAATTTTTATTTTGAAAACACCGAACATAACATTTTGAAAACTGTTTAAGAGGAATATATACTGCAAGCTTAAAAAAAAAAACTATTATAAATCAGTGGTATCTCCATTAGGGATCTGCTCTTACACGTTTCATATCTTACAGACTTGGACTGGTCTTCCGAGATAAACTACTTTCCTGGACCTGGACGTGACCCCAGGGTGTCTCAAGGGCCTCAGGCTGGCTTGGCCTCAATACCTCTGTTCAGCGCTTCCCTCACCGGTTAGCACTTTCCTTGACCATCCTCTAACTAATCAAAGAAAAGGCTTTCATTTCCCTATCTCATTTCCCACTGGTGACAAAAAAGTCAAGAAAACTCTAGTCACCACTATAGACTTCTCAATGTCAAAGGTGTGCCTTTTTTTTGCTCTCCCTAAACCCTCACCAGAGAATTCCCCGTTATCTTCTCTTTGGGAGAGCAGAGTAATGCATTCCCAAACTCCCTGTGAATTTTTAAAGACTTCTTTAAAAGGAGTGTTCAGTCTAAGAACAGTGATTCTGCTAGCATTAGCGTCTCATTGTTTTCCCAGCTCATCTTAATGCAGCTAATTTTCATAAACACGCTCCAAAATCTGTTTCCAGAAATATTATAGCCCTAAATAAACAAAACATTTTAAGATGTTATTTAGAAAGGAATCAAATTCTAAATATTGACTGAATATCCTCAGACACTACGAAAACAGTCTCCCAATTTAAGCACTTGGAATGAGTTGATAGATGACTATACCAAAGAAAATATCTTAAATTATCAAAACTGAGTGCAGTAACTAAAATTTTGAAAATACAGTGTGATGCACTAATAGCATACAAAGCAGTACTGTTTACCTTACAGAAAAAAAACCCTATAAAATTATTGTATTTAGAACAGAAATCTTTTTAAATTTTCTACCTTTTCTTCCTAAGAAACATGTCAGTGATTCTGGGAATTTATCAAATTATAAAAGAGTACAATTTACCATGTATCATGCTTCACAAAGTTTTCTTACATATTACTGCCTTTAAATTTTGTATGTCTTTAGAACAGTACTTGGGTGGCTCTGTTGGTTAAGCATCTGCCTTTGGTTCAGGTCCTGATCTCAGGGTCATCCGCTCAGCTGGGAGTCTGCTTCTCCCTCTGCCTCCTCCCCCCAGTTCATGCTCATGCTTTCTCTCTCTCTCAAATAAATAAAGAAAATCTGGGGGGCGGGGGAGGGAGAGCAGCAGCTTTCAACCTTTCTCCTATTTCAAACACATAAAGGAAAGTGCCCATAAAATACGTTCCTATACCCAAGCTCACATATTGATAGATCAAAAGAAGAAGAAAACATGGGAAGGAGGTCAAATAATGCTGTACAAAGGATTTTGTCATTGTCTTATGCTTTTTTGATGTAGTATTCATACAGACTACATTTATGTGAAAGATTAACTACTACCTCAGAAACACTGACCTCACTCTAGCAAAAATGAGATGGTTTGTTTTTGCCTATACATGGGATTGCTCTAGCTAATCTTCTTTCCATCTCTCACTCAAAAAACATACAGTGATATCCTTATGGAAATATCCTGTTTCCCTGCATGACACATCACGATGGTCACTAGTTGTTGTTTCAAAGGCTTGTCTTCTTATGCCTATTTTAAACAAGGAAAGTAAACCCTTCTGAAAGGTTACATGATACCCCCAAAGTCATATACTTCATAAAGGCAGAACTAGGAATAAATCCCAAATATTTGATTTTGTTTCTAATTTTTTTTTTCCTCATCTCACACACACACACACACACACACACAAGATAGGATTACACAAACCAATTCACCTGCAATCTTGCCTGTACTGGCTGATACCAAATCTTTCCTAGTTATCTGGCTGCCATTTTGGCCTCTTTGCATTTGGATTATTAGATATTTTGACTTGTAGTATCAACCTTCTTTTAATCCCTGCTATATAGGCAGGCACGAGTGAGATGTTTATCATCGGGGGACTGGTAGATGCAGTAGACAAACTGTATAGTGGTTAGGGAGTATACAGAGTTTTATTTCACTGCAGCAGATCTGAACAGTCAATCCATTCAATATGGCATTGGCCCCTGAGCAGGTGCCACCACCATTCCTCTCAATGTGAAAAATACTGGAAAAGTAGAGTGAGTTTATTTTTGGTTGGGTTGCCAGCAGCTGAAGAAACAGGGAGGTTGCTGTTACTTTAATAGCCATAATTTTATGAATAAAGACCTTCATAGTTCAGGGGACCACTGTCTTTCTTGCCTCCAGCTTTAAGAAAGCAGTACTTCTACTTTGAAGAGTCTCTACTACCAAAAGATGCTTGTTTCCACTGCAATTGTATGAGAACTGAACTACCTGAAAGCAATGCCAAGGATTACTGACACCACTGGTAATGGCCTCTGTCTCTTCTTTCAACTGAATCAGAAGACTGATGTCTCACACATGCTTTACTAATCGGTGATTACACATTTTTCTTACTGGCATATAATTCACATACAGTGTTATTACTTTCAGATGTACAACATGATGATTCAGTATCTCTATACATTACTCAGTGCTTATCCAGTGAAGTCCTCATCCGTCTCCAACTACCATCTTTGTAATCTTACTAATATATTCCCTATGCTGTACTTCTCATGTCCATTACTTATTTATTTTTTAACTGGAAGTTTATATCTCTTAGGCCTCTTTATTTCACCAATCTCCCCACCTACTTCTCCTCTGGCAAACACAGGTCCAATCTGTGTTTAAGAGTCCTTCGTTTGTTGTTTTTTTTTTCATTGTTCATTTGTTTTCATAAATTCTACATAGAACTGAAATCGTACGGTTTCTAACAGACTTATTTCAGTTAGCATTGTACCTTTTAGGTCCATCCATGTTGTTGCAAATGGCAAGATTTCATTCTTTTTTATGGCTGTGTAATGTTCCATATTGTGTGTGTGTGTGTGTGTGTGTGTGTGTGTGTCTCCCATCTTCTTCATCCATTCATCAATGCACACTTGGGTTGCTTTCGTATTTTGGCTATTGTAAATAACGCTGCAATAAACATAGGGGTGCATATATCTTTTTTATTTTTTTAAAGATTTTATTTATTTATCAGAGAGAGAGAGGGAGAGCGAGTGAGCACAGGCAGACAGAATGGCAGGCAGAGGCAGAGGGAGAAGCAGGCTCCCTGCAGAGCAAGGAGCCCGATGTGGGACTCGATCCCAGGATGCTGGGTTCGTGACGAGCCGAAGGCAGCTGCTTAACCAACTGAGCCACCCAGGCGTCCCGCATATATCTTTTTTAATTAGAATTTTCACTTTCTTTGGGTAAATATCCAATAGTGGAATTACTGGATCATATAATATTTTTATTTTTAAATTTCTGAGGAACCTCCATGCTGTTTTCCACAGAAGTGTACCAGTTTGGATTTCCACTAATAGTACACAAGGATTCCTTTTTTTCTCCAAATCCTCACCAATACTTGTGTTATTTCTTGTCTTTTTGATCCTAGTCATTTTGATAAGTGTGAGGTAATACCTCACTGTAGCTTTGATTTGCATTTCTCTGGTGATTAGTGAAGTTAAGCATCTTTTCATGTGGCTCTTGGCCATCTTTACATCTTCTTTGGAAAAATGTCAATTCAGGTCCTCTACTCTGCTCATTTTTCAATTGGATGTGTGTGTGTGTGTGTGTGTGTGTGTGTGTGTGTGTGTGTTGTGTTGTGTAAATTCCTTATACATTTTGGATATTAATCCCTTATCAGATAAATCATTTGCAAGTATCTTCTCCCATTCAGTAGGTTGTCTTTTTGTTTTGTTGACGGTTTCTTTCACTGTGTAAAAGCATTATATTTTGGTGTAGTTCCAGTAGTTTATTTTTGGTTTTGTTTCCTTTTCCTCAGGAGACCTATCTAGAAAAATGTTTCTATGGCCAATCTAAGATTACTGCCTATGTTTTCTCCCAGGAGTTTGATTGTTTCAGGTCTCATATTTAGGTCTTTAATCCATTCTGAGTTTATTTTGGGGTTTGGTGTAAGAGAGTGGTCCAGTTTCCCCAGCACTATCTGTTGAAGAGATGGTCCTTTCCCCATTGTATATTCTTGCCTCCTTTGTCATAGATTAATTGACATATAAGCATGAGTTTATTTCTGGGTTCTCTATTCTGTTCCATGGACCTATACATCTATTTTTGTGCCAGTATGATATTGTTTTGATTACTACAGCTTGGTAATATATCTTAAAATATGGAATTGTGGTAACTCCAGCTTTGTTCTTTTATTTATTTATATTTATTTTTTAAATTTTTATTTATTTTTTAAATTTCTTTTCAGTGTTCCAGAATTCATTGTTTATGCACCACACACAATGCTCCATGCAATATGTGTCCTCCATAATACCCACCACCAGGCTCACCCAACCTCCCACCCCAGCCCCCCAAACCCTCAGTTAGTTCCTCAGAGTCCATAGTCCCTCTTGGTTCATCTCCCCCTCCAATTTCCCCCAATTCTCTTCTCCTCTCCATCTCCTCATGTCCTCCGTGTTATTCCTTATGCTCCACAAGTAAGTGAAACCATATGATAATTGACTCTCTCTGCTTGACTTATTTCACTCAACATAATCTCCTCCAGTCCTGTCCATGTTGATACAAAAGTTGGGTATTCATCCTTTCTGATGGAGGCATAATACTCCATTGTACATATGGACCACATCTTCTTTATCCATTTGTATGTTGAAGGGCATCTTGGTTCTTTGCACAGTTTGGCGATTGTGGCCATTGCTGCTATGATCATCGGGGTACAGATGGCCCTTCTTTTCACTACATCTGTATCTTTGGGGTAAATACCCAGTATTGTGATTGCGGGGTCATAGGGTAGCTCTGTTTTTAATTTCTTAAGGAATCTCCACACTGTTTTCCAAAATGGCTGCACCAACTTGCATTCCCACCAACAGTGTAAGAGGGTTCCCCTTTCTCCACATCCCCTCCAATACTTGTTTACTGTCTTGTTAATTTTGGCCATTCTAACTGGTGTAAGGTGGTATCTCAAGGTGGTTTTGATTTGAATCTCCCTGATGGCTAGTGATGACGAACATTTTTTCATGTGTCTGTTAGCCATTTGTATGTCTTCATTGGAGAAGAGTCTGTTCATGTCTTTGCCCATTTTTTGACATGATTATCTGTTTTGTGTGTGTTGAGTTTGAGGAGTTCTTTATAGATCTTGGATAACAGCCCTTTGTCTATACTGTCATTTGTGAATATCTTCTCCCATTCCGTGGGTTGCCTCTTTGTTTTGTTGACTGTTTCCTTTGCTGTGCAGAAGCTTTTGATCTTGATGAAGTCCCAAAAGTTCATTTTCTCTTTTGTTTCCTTTGCCTTTGGAGACACATCTTGAAAGAAGTTGCTGTGGCCAATGAGAAAGAGGCTACTGCCTATGTTCTCCTCTGGGATTCTGATGGATTCCTGCCTCACGTTGAGGTCTTTTTATCCATTTCGAGTTTATCTTTGTATACAGTGTAAGAGAATGGTCGAGTTTCATTCTTCTACACATACCTGTCCAATTTTTCCAGCACAATTTATTGAAGAGACTGTCTTTTTTCCACTGTATATTTTTTTCCTGCTTTGTCGAAGATTAGTTGACCATAAAGTTGAGGGTCCTTTTCTGGGCTCTCTATTCTGTTCCACTGGTCTATGTGTTTGTTTTGTGCCAGTACCATGTTGTCTTGGTGATCACAGCTTTGTAGGAAAGATTGAAATCAGACAACGTGATGCCTCCAATTTTATTTTTCTTTTTCAACATTTCCTTAGCAATTCAGGGTCTCTTCTGGTTCCATATAAACTTTAGGATTGTTTGCTCCAGCTCTTTGAAAAATGCTGGTGGAATTTTGATTGGAATGGCATTGAATGTATAGATTGCTCTAGGCAGTACAGACATTTTAACAATGTTTATTTTTCTGATCCATGACCATGGAATGGTTTTCCATCTTTTGGTGTCATCTTTCATTTATTTCATGATTGTTCTGTAGTTCCTCAAGTACAGATCTTTTACCTCTTTGGTTGGGTTTATTCCCAGGTATCTTATGGTTCTTGGTGCTATAGTAAATGGAATCGATTCTCTAACTTCCCTTTCTGTATTTTCATTGTTAGTGTATAAGAAAGCAACTGATTCTCTACATTGATTTTGTATTCTGCCACATTACTGAATTGCTGTATGAGTTCTAGTAGTTTGGGGGGAAAAAAAGACTTTATTTATTTGAGAGAGAGGGACAGGAGGCAAGAGAGAAAAGAGAGAGGGAGGGGCAAAAGGGAAGGGAGTAGGTGTCCCATTGAGCAGGGAGTCAGATGAGGGGCTTAATTCCAGGACCCCTGGGATTAAGACCTGAGCCAAAGGCAAATACTTAACTGAATGAGCCACCCAGGTGCCCCTGACTTTGTTCTTCTCTCCCAAGAAAGACTATTTGGAGTTTTTTTTTTGGTTCCACACAAATTTTAGTAATATTTGTTGTAATTCTGTGAAAAATGCTGTTGGCATTTTGATAGGCATTGCATTAAATCCAAAGACTGCTTTGAGTAGTATGGACATTTTAACAGTATTGGTTCTTCTAGTCCATGAGCATAGAATATCTTTTCATTTGTGCCTCTTCAATTTCTTTCATCAGTGTTTTACAGTTTTCAGAGAATAGGTCTTTCATTTCCTTAGGTGTGAGTATAAATGGGATTGTTTCCCTATTTCTTTCTGCTACTTCATTATTAATATATAGAAATGCAACAGATTCCTGTATATTAATTTTGTTTCTTGTGACTTTACTGAATTCATTAATCAATTCTAGTAGTTGTTTTTTGTGGAATCTTAAGGGTTTTCTATATATACATTATGATGTTATCTGCCAATAGTGACAGTTTTACTACTTCTTGACCAATATGAATGCCTTATTTCTTTTTCTTGTCTGATTGCCGCAGCTAGGACGTCCCATACTATACTGAATAAAAGTGATGAGAGTGGATATCCTTGTCTTGTTCCTCATTTTAGAGGAAAAGTTCTGTTTTTCACCATTGAGTATGATGTTAGCTGTGGGGTTTTTGTATATGGTCTTCATTACGTTGAGTTGTGTTCCCTCTAAGCCTACTTGTTGAGAGTTTTTATCATAAATGGATGTTGTACTTTATCAAATGATTTTCCTGCATCTATGAGATGATCATGTGATTTTTTTTTCCTTTCTCTTGTTAATGTGATGTATCATGTTGATTTTTTGTGAATACTGAGCCACTCTAGCATCCCTGGAATAAATCCCATATGACTGGTGAATAATTTTTTTAATGTATTATTGAATTCAATTTGCTAATATTTTGTTGAAGATTTCTGCACCTATGTTAGTCAGACAGAGTAGGCCATAGTTTTCTTTTTTTGTTGTGAATTGTCTGGTCTTGGTTTTAGAGTAATGGTGGCCTCATAGGATGAATTTGGATGCTTTTCTTCCTCAGCTATTTTTTGGAATAGTTTAAAAATAGGTATTAACTCTTCTTCAGATGTTTGGTAGAACTCACACCCTGAAGCCATCTGGTTCTGGACTTTTGTTTGTCAGGAGTTTGATTACCAACTTAATTTCATTGCTAATAATTGGTCTGTTCAAATTTTCTCTCTCTTCCTGATTTAGTTTTAGAAGTTTATATGTTTCTAGAAATGTATCAGTTTCTCCTAGGTTGTCCAATTTGTTGGCATATAATTTTTCATAATGTTCTCTTAAAATCCTTTGTATTTCTGTGGTATTGGTTTTTAGTCCTCATCCTTCACTTCTGACTTTATTTATTGAGTCCTCTTTTTCTTTGTCTGATGAATCTGGCTAAGGGTTTATAAATTTTGCTTATTTTTTCAAAGAACCAGCTCTTGGTTTTAGTGACTTTTCTATTGCTTTTTAAGTCTCTATTTCATTTATTTCTGCTCTAATCTTTGCTATTTTCTTTCTTCTACTGGTTTTGGGCTTTGCTGCTCTTTTTCTAGCTCCTTTAGGTATAAGGTTAGGCTGCTTGAGATTTTTCTTGTTTTTTGAGATGGACCTGACCTGTATCACTCTGAACTTCCCTCTTAGAACTGCTTTTGCATGGTGATTACAAATTAAAAAAAAAAAAATTACAAATTTTACAGAATTATTTTTTAAAACATTTTTACAAATTTTACAAGATTTTACAAATTTTGCTGCATGGTGATTACAAATTTTAATTTGTATCCCACTCCTGCTCCTCTATACACCCATATATATTTTTCTGTATTTCTGTATTCTAATGTATTTCTGTTGTTCTGTCCCCTTTCATCACATATTTTATTCTTTATCTATGCTGTGATAAATTTAAGCATTGCTGTATCCCATTCCTTTTTCTCCATATAATTTTTCCTTTTTCTTTCTCCTTAAACAATTATGTAAAATAGTCATATTTGCTCCTTCTTTTAACTTGTTTATTATAAGGAAGCATTTTATGTCTTTCTTAATAACTAATGATATGCTATTTTTAATTTTTTAAAGATTTTATTTATTTACTTATTTGAGAGAGAGATAGAGAGAATGCATGAGAGTGGATGGGCAGAGGGGGAGAAAAAGGAAAAAGGAGAGAATCCCAAGCTGACTCTACCCTGGATGCAGAGCCTGACTCAGAGCTCAATCCCATGACCTTGAGATCATGACCTGAGCAGAAATCAAGAGTCGGGCGCTTAACTGACTAAGTGACCCCGGCACCCCTAATGATATGCTATTTTAAAATATAGCTCCTAGAGAATAGGTAACTTTCCCTCTCTGTGCCTCCAAGGAGTGTGTATCTAAAAACCTGGGATAGAAACCCAGGAAGAAAGAGTACCAAAAACAACAAACCATTCAGTGGTGAAGAACCCTGGCCAGGCTACAGAGTGAATCATCACAAAAAATTAAGTGAATGCATTTGCCTAAAATGGAGAGTCCCAAGTAACTGAAATAATGGTATTTTTGGTGAGCACCTATTTCTATGTCAAGACCAAGCTCAACATCACTTATTCGATGATAGTTTCCCTGGACTCACCAGAGTCAGTTTCCATTTCCCTCTGAATGCCACCACATTGTGCACATAGTCAACACTATTAATTATAGTGTTATGTAATGACTTAAGTGCTCTTCTCTGCGACTGAACTGTGAGTTTCTTCAGGAGTGAAACTAGCTGTCTGTCCATTCCGAGCAACTAAGAGTGTTGCCAACACAGAGCTATATTCTCAGGAATGTTGGCTGAATAAACTACATTAAATGATCTCTGGAATTAATGTAACACATTGATTAATCTAAGTATATAAACTGGTATTGGGGGTATGTTTTTTGCAGCATACATATTTATATTCAAATGAGCCGAGTCAACGTGTTCAATACTTACAACAACTTTAACATGTTTGGATAGATCTCTAGAACTTCTTTGTAGGAAATCAGAAAAAGCTGCCTGTACCGCAAGGAAACAAAGGAAGAAAAACCAAACTTAATCACATGGTTATGCCAAATCCTTGCTTCCATATTATCAACAGTTCCTAATGTTTCTAAATTATTCAAAATATAAAGAAGTTCTTATCTTGCTAAATGCAAAGCAAAATACAGTCACTGTCAGGCTGAAAACTCTCTTTGTTTTCAAACTATAACCTATAATAAAATTTAAGAACACAGTAGAAAAGTTAAAAAGTAGGTAATTCCAACGGTCATTTTGAAGATTTATTTTGATGACCTTTCCTGACCTCCTACTTGATCACGGGGTGCTGATATCATCTTGAACTTACCACTAAGAATGTCTTGTTTCACCCTCTCCCTTTTTATTTCCATTCTCTCTATTCAGTGGCCTAAATGTCAACTACACTTTTTTAAAATCAGTATTGTCGAGGCCTTCCCATCCCCCACCCCTGGCCATTCATCCCCACGATGTCCCTGAGGAGAAGGAAAAAAGACCTCCTTTACTCATATATGTTTCCATGAGAAACTGCTCACCCTCTGTCAATTTCTCATCCAACACAGATGCGTATGTACTCCTGTGCAAACCACATTCTTACTCAAGACTTTTTATACATCTTTCAGTCTGCCTAACTCCCCCATTCTCAAGATTGGCTTTGATGTTGCTCACATCACTCCTTGAATATCATCCCCTCAGGACAACAGGAAGCCTTAAATCTTTAAAGTTCAAAGATGATGAACACCAGCTCCCTTTCTACCAACTTAAATACATCTTAATTGTAAACCAGACATTGAATTGTAATCATACATAGAAATACTTGTAAACATCTGAGGTGAGTAATAATTTTTCATATAGTTAGTATCCCTATTACCAACAAGTAATTAGAATGTACTTAGTATTAAATAATAGGTAATAATTATAAAATATATACTTACCCCTGCATAGAACATTTTATTTCGAAAACGACTATTAAATTTCTCTGGATTTGCTTCTGTGAAAGGAAAAGGTAGTTTTGTTATAGAGACCTCATTAAAGGTAGTGACTTCCATTAACATTCTTACTTCTCCTGCCCTCCCTCCCCACCCCACAGATCCAACAGAGTCAACAGCCTCATTATCATCTTTTCCTTAGTTACAGGCCGGTTGGTATAGTTATTTAGTGCTACAGAAGTGTAGCCCCAAAATGGCAGCATCAGCATCAACTGGAAGCTTGTTAGAAATGCAAATTATTAGGCTCTACCCAAGACCTACTGAATTATAATGTGTAGGGGGTGGTGTCCAGGAATCATGATTTAATAAGCTCTCTGGGTGACTTACATGTACATTAAAAGTTGAGACACTCTGGATTCTATTCAGAATAGAATGCTGACAGGGAACCAAGGCAAGGGTGATAGGACAAAGGAGGGTGATGAGGTGTGATTATCTGCTTTGACCTCCATAGGGCGCATCTTCTATAAACTATGTATGCAGATTCCAAATGTAATGAAATATGGGAAATTGGGTAAAAGTAGAGAATTTGCTTTCACATCTTACTGAAACTCCTAACTACCATCTGTGCTTTTGTTTGTCACAGGCCTTAACCACTCACTTGGTTAACTGGAGGTACAGAAATATACATACATGCAGGTCAACCACTACATGACTCGGGGCTTATGACAACAAAGACTGTGGGTGAAAAATGATTTTATTTTGAGTTTGGTCCTGTTTGTTATATAAAGACCACAAAAAAGGTTAAATAAGAATCTGCATCAGAGAATGTTCACATGAATATAAGGGATTATAAAATCCCTAAGTGAAATATTATTTCCTTATATTCTTTCTAGTAGAATTCCAAGACATTCCAATGGGACCCACTGTCAATGTTTTGCCTTCTGCTATTTTATCCCATGTGCTCCTTAATCCCTTCTCAGGGCAAGGTCTTTCTTCAAATTGTTTCTCATCAGACAGCTGGCTAACTAGTTGAAACTCTTCAAGTCCTGGCCCTATGTTTGAATGGAAAATCTTAATAATTGTCTAGATGAAGAAAAGGAGCAAGGAGCTCACTCACTAAGATAGGATAGAGTAAGAGCTACAGAATCTCAGGGAATAATCCTAGACCTAGGATCATTAGATTATTTTCAAGATTATTAGAATATAATATTAGCACCTACCATGGAAACTGGGTCAAAGTTTGTAAACTTAAAAGAAAAATAAGGTAGTATGTTGTATATTGACTCGAGAGTTTTTACGTATTTAAGATTCTGTATCTCACAACTCTCCTTGAACATTCACTTTATTCTATTGGATTGAGTTACTCTGAACCCTAGAAACAAAATTAAACAAAAGTTAAAGGTGAATTTACAGGCTATACTAAACAGAAAAAGTGACAAAAGTGTACTTAGTACTCCATCTCTTTGGTCCCCACTTCTGGACCCAGAACTCACCATTTTTATTGTGTGGGCCTTTATGATAAATTTGGCTCTAAGTAACTTTTTTTGTTGTTGTTGTTTGTTTGTTTCTTATTTAATCTTTCTTAACCCAGATTTGGCTTGGTACCAATGTCAGTTGCATTAACTCTTGCTTGATGGACCAGAGGCAAAATTAGGATTTCTGTTGTTGTATAATTTATGATGGGTACTTAATCCCTAATTTTGTAAGAGAATAAAAGGAAAAGTCAGATCTGGCTATTGAGCAAGTTATAATAAAAAAACCTGGAAAATGGCACCCACAGTTCTGGCATAGAACTTTTTCAGGGCACTAATGTCCACAGCTATCAAGCGAATCATGCATCAACTATTAACGTTTACTTTAAAAAATAAAAAAAACCCCACTACTTTGTGGTTTGGAAAAGATTCACATTCTTAAGGAGTTTTCCTATGAGCCTAAGTTTTGTTTTTTGGTTTTTTTTTTTTTTCCCTTTAAAGAAACAGTTTTCTGTTTCTTTAAACAGAAACAGGTAACTCAGTGGGTTATGCCTCTGCCTTTGGCTCAGGTCAAGATGTCAGGATCCTGGGATGAAGCCCTGCATTGGGCTCTCTGCTCGGTGGGCAGACTCACTCTCTCTGTCTGCCTCTCTGCCTAATTGTGATGTCTCTATCTCTCTGTCAAATAAATAAATAAAGTCTTCCAAAAAAAGTTTAAAAAAAATGTTTTCTCTCAAGAGATAGAAAATGTTTTTTAAGACCCAAAATGGGTAGAATAAAATTAATAAATAAACTGAGTTTTTGGTGATTTCACTGACACAGCTGATGAAAACAGTCACTTCAAATGTAATTTAACTAGATAAAATTCAATTAACATGTGAAACTAAACAAGATGAAGATACTAGCATTTAGAGAGATGTCAGAAAGATAACCAGGTAGGAGAGTCACACATATTCCTTAGCCCTGAGAACAGAAAAGATAGAAGTAAATTCTGTTATCTCTGCTAATAGTATAATGGCATTATATACTGACTCCCTGACTGAGCCTGCCTTCCTGATTACACATTTTTTCCAATTCAATATCTACCCTACTTCAAAGAGCCTCAGAAACAAAGGTTGGCTAGAGCTGAGAGAGATGTTGGGTAGTACTGGAACTTCCCTACTCCCTACAGAAGCCAGTCCCTAAGAAAGCAAGGGATGTCTGCAAATAACAGTACTTAGTCATTCCTTATTGGCTCTTAGAGTGTTGAGTGGCTGGATACGTGGATGTGTAAGAATTGAAAGGTCTTTGAGAAGGTCCAAGGAACATGGTCCCCCACTATATCAAGAAAAGGGGACATACAAAATTGGGAAAGGACCAATAACGAAGTGGTAAGTATTCTTGTTCCTTAAGGAAGCTGTATCTGTTCATTGGTATGAGGTCAACTATGAAAGGCCATTCTCAAGAAATACTAATAATACTCAAAGTATCCCAAGACCCCAATAGTGGAAGCATCCATGTCGTATTGCTACAGTTCCTCGACTGCCCATCTCCCTCTTCCACAAGAACAGGGTGTACCCAAGCGAGATCTAAATGCTCACTATGCATGTCTAAAGCCATTAGCCTATTTATAATCTGATTGGACACCAACATTAATTGTATTCGTTTCCTATTCCTAAGAACTTGGCAACTTAAAACATCCATTTATTTTCTTGTTCCCTGGGCCAAAATCTGAGTCCTCTACTTAGGTTCATCCAAGGTCAAAATTAAGGTGTCAGCCTGCAGGACTCTTCTATGGGAACTCTAAAAAGGATTCACTTTCATGAGTGCTTGGGTGGTTCAGTTGGTTAAGCTTCCCACTCTTGATTTCCTCTCAGGTTGTGATCTCAGGGTTGTGAGACCAAGTCCTGTGTCGGGCTCCAGACTCAGCAGGTGTGAGTGTGAGATTTCTCTCTCTCCCTCTTCTTCTGCCCCTCCCCCCAGTCACACACACTCTCTAAATACATGAACTAATGAATAAATAAATAAAATCTTTTTGAAAAAAAAAAAAGGATTCACTTCAAAGTTTCTTCAGATAGTTGGCAAAACCCATTTCCTTATAGTTGGAGAAATGAAGTTCTTTTTCCTTGTTGGCTATTGGCTAGGGTTCATTCTCAACTTTTAGAGCCCTCCTGGAGTCCTTGGCTTGGGATCCCCTCCACCATCCAAGCCAGCAGGGCCACATCAAGTGTTTTTCCACCCTGCAAATCTATCCAGCTTCCCTTCTACCACATCTCTTTGACTTCCTAATTAACTTTCTACTTACACTTTGAAGGGCTCATGGTATCACACTGGGCCCACTCAGATAACCCAGAATTCTCTTCCTATACAAGGGCAGGTAATTATTGACCTCAATAACATTAAAAAAGTCTTTTTTCCATGTAAAATAACATAACCAAAAAGCATGATACCAAATAACAAATGTCATAAAGGCCAAAATTCTACCCACCATCACCTACCATCTGACCCCCATGGTTCACCTTTCCCATATGAAAAACATTCATTCCTTCCAAGGTCCCCAAAGGTCTCATCCCCATTAGAGCACCAACTCAAAACCTAAAAATCTCAGCTCAAGCTTATTAGCTCAAACTTCCCAAATCTCATCATCAAAATCACCTAAATGATTTGGCTCTGGATGTAATCCAGTTATGATGATAATAAGGTTCTGGGTATTTTCCATTCTACTGGTTTAATATATTAATCCTATTTTTATGTACAACACAATAACATCTGTGCCATCAGAATAGGATCCTAGACTCTACTTTTGTCTGTAATTGGTCTGGCATATTAGAAGAGATATTCATAAATACAAGTTCAACTCTATGTTTATAAAACTCAATAAGCAACTTGAACTGCACAAAACTCACATTTTCCATATTATCTGCATTAGATATGTACCCAATCTTAAGACTTCAGTTATATATACATAAATGATCCCCAAATCTATACCTACAATAACAATGCCGCCACCTTCAATTCAAATGGCATATATCCAAAAAAAATCTTGTCTTCCAACATCATCTCCCATGAAGGACAAATAGTTTTATCAACATTATCTGTTCTTCTAACATGGCTGCAAAACTCTTTCACTATGTATTAATTGGTCATCCCATCTTATCACAAGCTCATTGGTCCCTCTGTATTTTGCTGTCTGAAATGTCCTTACCCACTTTACTTCTAAACTACATTTTGCACTCCTCCTTTATCTCTCAGCTCCCTCTTACCCTTTCTGGAAATTTTCCCCTGATACATTTTCCCTGCCAAATTCCTATATTATTTACTGCCTATATAACTAATCTTATCCCTACCATATAATCCTTTCTACTGTTATCTTTTATATTATATATGGGGCCTCTCCTCTAATTACACTTTCCATTACTGTATGGAATACTTATTGAGATAGCCATGGGCTTGGCACAGGGACTATAAGAAGATATGTTCTTTTGTTCACATGAGTTTTAGAGTGGAGGAGATAGATTTGAAAAGTAAAGGGAAACATCATTTTGTATATACCATACAAAGATGCCTATAGCAGATGAAGTGAGAGTCACACATAAAGGGAATGATCAAAAGGTTTCCAGAGGCAGGTACACTTGAATCTTGAATGAAGGTAGGTGCCATGCAGAGGTTCAAAATGAAAAGATGGTTACAGACAGAGAACCTTGGACCATAAGACTTTCACAAGGGCAAATCATGCTTGAGTCTCAGTACCTAGACATAAGACTGGTAGTGTGTCCTTTAATGAAATTTAGCAAGCTACTGAAATGTCTTTTTAAAGAAATCTGTTCATTCTCCATATGAATCATGAGACATTCATAATACTCAGAAACATGCTCATCTGCATGTTTTTGTATATTCAGTGAAAATAGTAAACTTTAAATCAAATTTAAATACTGCCTCCTTTAGAGTCATAATTGTATTTCTCTGACCTTGTAGCGTAAGGTTCAACTCCTCTGAATAAGTAACTTCAGAGAGGCAGTAACATTTAAGTATCCAATCTAAGGCTAAAAGTTTGATATGCTTAATATCCTTCACGTCCAAAAAAAAAATGACAATCTAATTCATATAGCTGGCAAAGTGAGACCTAACCTTGCCACCTGATAACCAAAATCATTGTTAACATGTCTATACATTAATGGATGGGAATATTTTCAATGTACTTGCTCAAGCACTGTCATAACGCAATAGTTATTAACGTTCTGGGCAAGACTCCAGCTGAAAATTAAATGGCCAATTCTGTTACATCTCCAAACCCTATTCCAAAAGACTGCACTTTCTGATATGCAAGCAACAGCTCAACCAAGCATGGTTTAGCCACTTTAATAAGATGAAAGCATCTCTATTTTCCAATCAAATGAACTAAACCAACTTTCTGATCAAATATAGAAACCCAGATTATTCAAATGTTTGCATTCTTTTTATACAAAGTCAATCAAAATGTTAAGACTGTCTTTAATCCTTGCTTGATTTTCTACTGCTGATTCTAAAAGTGTTTAAGCAGTAATACCTCCAATAAACTATCTCAAATGCCTTTAATTATCCCCTGTATTTGATGGGCTATTTCACATCTATGCCAAAAATTGCTTCTGCAATTACATTTTCAGAGCTTCTGCCTTAGTGAGATTTATATTTATTACCCATTTCATGTAGATAGATTAGCATAAATCCCAAGTACGCGCGCGCACACACACACACACACACACACTCTCTCTCTCTCTTTCTCTCTCCCCTTTTATTAATACCTAATAGGTTATTCAATCCAAGCTCATTTTTTTTTTATAATGGCTCTCATGAGGCTTTGAGTCATCCTTCAGGTATTTCATGGCAAATGATACAAGTTTTGTCATGATGTCTCACACTGAGTGTCTACATTTGAGAACAGTTTGAAGTCTCAGCTATTGGTGTTTTTGGCTTGAGAATAGTCACTTAATACCAAAAGAAATAAGTAAGTCTTCCCCTATTGAAAATGTAGCTATATTATCTTTCTTTTCCTTTCGTAGGAGAGCCTGAAATTTCTTGATTATCCAGGTAAAAATATGAAGAAAATTCAAATAAACAGAAAATAGTAAAAGCAAAAAAAAAAATAGCTTGGGTAATTATACTTTTCAGCATAAATTAATGATTTTTAATTAATGAAAAGTGAATAGATTAACAGGTATTAAGAAGTCCACACCTCTGGTATAGGGTTATCAACTAAACCTGTCTTCAACATTTTGTGGATATTTATTTCTATACTATCTTCATGAATACTGCAGAATATCTCAGGAAACATCAATTCTCTCTTAGCAGCTCTCCAGTGGCTGGTTTTCCTCAAGGGCACTTACACAAAGCCCCAACAATAACCTATTAAAACACTAGTCTTTGCATCTTTTAACCAAATGTTTTATAATCACACATACATTAAACTATGTATACACACACACACACACACACACGCATATACACCACAGTTTGCATATTCCTTTCTCAAACGAAGTAGTCCCACTTAAAAAAAAAAAAAATCACTTTCCTTCAAGAATTCTCTTCTAAGCCTGGTCTTTCTCCCTTGATATCTCTCCCTGCTTCCTTCACTCTGAGACACAAAAGTTTCATCACAGTACAAGGAAATGTATCATTAGGAAATTGTCAGATTAATTAGACAAAATATTAGGCTCCCGTGAATGAGCTCATTGTCTGCCACTTACTCATTTAGGTCTCTTTTCATGCCAGGATGTCTATTTTGGAAGATTCATGCATTTGTGATAATTTTAAGTATTGTTAAGAAACTGAAAGATTTTGCTAGGAAGCACAAAACCAGAGTCTCCTGAAGAATATGAGGGGAAAAAATGGGTTAAGAAATGAGGAAAGTAATCTTCATTTACTTCCCTAAATTAAGTCTCCTTAAGTACAGGGAGACCAACAGACTATAAATGTGGGCCCTACAGTAGGACTCCCTGAATATCCATCTCCAAGAGCTGTCTATGACAGGGAGATGGGAGGGCGATAGTGTTTCTGATCTGGGTATTTGATATTTGTGGTTCTGTTTTCAACCAAACTTTCAGAGAGAAAAGTCAAACTATGGCTTTCTCTTTGATCATCATCACTTTTATTTTATTTTACTTTACTTTATTTTATTTTTTCATTTAAATTCAATTAGCCAAGATACGGATTTACATGGTAGGTACAATTTACGTCAACACGGATGGAGATGAAGATTATTATGCTTAGTATTGTTTTTAGTTGACACAGCATTTGGCTCTCAAAGCCTCATGAGAACAGGAAGGCAAAGCCTACCAAAACTGCTGATCTCCGTAAGAAAATTACATGTTTGGGCTTCACTTACAGTTTGTATTCTAACGCCCTTAATCCTACTACTCCACTCTTGACCCTTATTGCATAAGAGTGTTACCAGAATTTCCTCTGGGTTATTAGTTATTAGTAGAATGTGAACATTTGAAGTCTTTTAGGTCTCTGTATTTCAAATTCTAGGAGTTAAAACCACTGACTCTCTTGAAGAATCTGGAGGAAAAGAAGTAAAATAATCTTCTCACGTACGTGTTTTATCTCACAACACACTCACTAACCTACTGCTCAGCATGATTTTCGTTATATATTAACTTATTCCCATGAGAGTAGGTATAGATGTAGATACAGACAAAGACACAGATATATGTAGTTACATTAATAAGAGATTTTGAGAGGTGAAGAGACACCAGGTGAATGAGCGTGAGCATGGGCGTTTGGGGCTTCCAAACATAAGCCCAAATCCTCAACTTTCTCAGCTCTGAATGGCATAAGAAATTTTCTGATTAAGTATTTAACCACATGCCATTATTTCATCTTATTTGTCTTTCGAAAATAATTTTGTTCCCTAATCTTGTCTCCATCTCTTCCAGCCCTTGAAATTACCACCGGCTCTCATTCGTCCCCTAGCTTGTCCAGTGGGCACTCCCAGCACCTCTGTCACCAATGCAATCACCAGCCTTTCTTTCCACCTAAACCACTGATCAGCTTCCCTACTGTTCCCCAAGATGACTGCTATCTCTTTCTCACACACAGGGAGGACTGGTATGTTTTTGCTGCCAGATTCAATGGCCCTGGTTTATAAAGTGTTGGACTTTAACAATCGGTGATTCAAGAAGCTGGGAATATCCTAATGATTTGAATGAAAGAAGCTTTATCTCTTCCTAGTGGTTCACTAACCCCAAAGTTTCTAGTCAAACTTAAAAATTAGCAGTCTGAGACCTGGAACATCCCTCTGTGTTGTCCTTTACATCTCTGAGACCCTAAACAACTAGGTCTCAGGGTCCGATCTGTAACAAGTTCCTATCTTATCTAGCTCCCAGGGTCATCATGAAAGTTAAAATGAACAACACTGATGCACACTGTCAATATTTAAGTGATATACAAACAGAAGGGAACATGAAAAACACCTGCTGGAAACTTCCTCCCTGGGAGATGGAAATGGGACGTTGTCCTCACCTCTGGATTCATGGAACTCCAGTGTGACGTGGGCATCGAATCCAAGGCTGAAGTAATTATTGAAAACATTCAGAGGAAGCTGCAATGATGAACAAAGTACAGGTGAAGTGGTGCGTAACCAGGCAGAAAGAGTAAAACAAAGCCTAATGCCAGACACCTGTCTCCAGGGCAGTCCCTGGGAAAGAGGGAAGTCACAACCGGAGGGAGAAGGTGTTTGCATGTGAGGAACAAGGGATTTTTGAATTCATTAGTGAAAGCTCAAATCAAATAACACTCCCAAGAATTTTAAGTAGTATAGGAAACAAGCGATGCAGATACAAATTATTAAATGGGAACTCTTCTTGTGGATATTAAATAAGAGAGCCCAATTAAGCTGAGGGAAGTACAGCCCCGATAGCTACAAAGAATGACTCACTAAGCAAACTTAGAAAGTCAATTCGAATGGAAGGATCATGTGTAAGCTAATCCGTGGATGCACTTATTGAGAATTTACGGCCAGCATATTAATACTGCAACTTCAAATGAATAATATTTAATATGTTTACACTTCCATTTTTTAAAATCCCTTTTTGACATAAGTCATAAGCAACAAGGCAGTGGGAAACATTTAGCTACCCCTGATCTATAGGAAAAAAAAAATCTATGTGTATATACATATTTGTCAGTATTATTCAGATTTTGATTTAGTCTATCAGACCTTGTATCTTTAATATGACCATGAAATACGTAGACACAGATGTGGGTACACACACAAGTCTTCCTAGAGTCCTCTGGGTCCCTGGTTGCTACCACTGCAAGCTTAGTAAAGGAGAGGACTATGCAACCTAAAATCCTTCAACAGAACTGGAAAACTTATGTGCTTTTAAGGCTTCCATGTTAGAACAATGAGAAAGCACATGGAAAATGCTAGAAAGGAAACAGTGGCTCTTCTACTTTCCCTTCTGCAACTCAGAGTGGAAGGTAAATGTTAGACCAAATAGAGAAGCAACTTCATCTCAGCTTGGAGAATGTTTCCAGATAATTATCAGATTTAGCCTCCAGATAGAAATATACTTCTCTTCTGTTAGAAGTAAGTGTTTAACCCTTAAGATTTCAAAAGTAAGTTTATTACAGGGTTTCTTATGCCCCTTGACCAGTAAAACTTTGTTTGATTAGAGTAAGGACCTTATCCCATTAAGAGATAAATGAAAGGAGAGGGAGAGTAACAGAAAGACAGATATTAATATGGAAGGAAAGGAAATAGATGGCCTTCATATCCAATAGAAATAAAGAATGAACCGCCCATGAAAGGCCCTGAGTCAGAGCTTATTATAAATTTGGAGGTCAAATCAGTCCCCTTAGAAATGTCTACAACTGGCTGGAGAGCAGGGGAGAAACTAAACACAGAACAATGCCAAAATCTTGTCTCATTCTTCTGGCTTCATATTTGAGAATGTCTAGTTCCTGCACTTAAACAAAATACAAAGCCTTAGTAACAACATCAAGGGTTGGTGATCTTGCCAAAAGCACAGATATGTTCATCCCTACCATTTATGTTTTCTTGGCTACAATTCTAACCCATGTCTTAGCATTCACCAATAGCTTTAGGAGAACATCTGGTCACCATCCCCTAAATAATATCCCAATTTATTCCATTATTAAGTTCATATTCACATTTTCCAGGAAAAATTGCCCCAATTTCCTACATATCTCCTCAAAAATCCAGTTTTTCAAAACCCTTTAAGTATCTGGATTAATGTTCTCTGGCTGTACCAAGGAGTCTTTCCATTTCGTAAGCTGTCAGGTGGAGATTTAAATAGAGATTTTGACTGAGGGCCTAAGCATTCTAATCTTGGTGGGGAAAGGACCTTAAAATTTCCATATGGTATAATTCCTTTCACTTTGGCTATATTCTACCCAGTTTCTGTAAGTTGAACACATCAGAAAGAAGTATCGTATCCCAAGGTGATAACTGCAGTTTCAAACAACACTGTGACTTAGGAATGCAAATGTATGAAGCAGTCATGGTATCTATTAGAAACCTCACAATTTCTGGATCATGGTTTAGGAGAAAAAACGTGAGGACAAGATAAAACATGCTTTAACCTATTTTAGCCAAATAATAAACTTGAGTGTTTATCACCATTGGTCAGGATCATGGTGCTAATGAGTGACTAGGTTTTGGTTTGGTTTAAAAGGATATCTGGTTCAATTTATTTTAAAGTGGAAATGCCTATGACATGCAGGTTCAACCAATAGCATAATCCAATAAAGCAGGGATGCCACTGAAAGTACAGATCCAGGGCCTTAACCCTGTACTGACTTGATCAGAGTTAATGGAGACTGGGCCCCATAATTTGCACATGCAAAACTTTGAAAACACTATCACCGAAGAAAAATGGAAGGTAATAGGCAGGAAGTGACTATCTGGAAATGTGTCAGATTTATCTGAAATTGAGGCCAGAACTTAGAACCAAATGTTCTCCTGGGGCTGTGCACTAACATATGTACTACTGTGTCTCTTGGTTTGTCTTGGGTGGAAATGAAAGTTCAGTCACTGACGGAAAAATACTAAGTCAAAATATTTACTTGGGCATCTTCAAGTCCCAACCAAGTGATGAAACTGACTTACTTCATATGTGCTTCACATAAGAGAGATTTAATAGAAGACTACAAATCTCAGGAGGTTATCTTTCCATTGAAAGACCACATGCTTAAAGCTTCAGAACACCCATAGTTTTCACCTTCTAATAGGTCATGAGTTTGCAACGCCTGACAGATTAGAAAATGAATACATTCTTTCTGGTGTGGAAGTTGAGGATGGAGAACAGCTCCTTGAGCACTGGAGGCAGATAGGAAATCTCAGTCTTTAGAAGTCTGTAGGGCAGAATCATGGAAAAGTGTTACCCTAAAGGCCTAGTAGCCATAAACTCAAACATCAATCCCTGTGATGTTATAGGAAGGAATCACCATATGACTCTCCAGCCAGGACTGCACTTCTTGTGGCTCAGGTACACGTTCCAGGCTTCCCTTCTGGGGAAGAAAGAGCTCTCTCACCTTGCAGACGCCATCTTCAAGTTCTTCTGGAGGCAAGTCTGGGTTTCTTTCCACATGGAGGTTCCAGCGATCTAGCTGTACAATTGTCCCATCTTCTACTTGGCAAAGGATCTTAGATACAGGTTCATCAGTGTAGCCCTAAGGAATCAAAGAAAATACCCATTGCCACCTGGAGCAACGAACAGTGTAACCAAAGCCATTTCATGCAAGCAAGAGTTCTTCTGCTATAGTTCCCTGTTTGTTTTGCAATTAGCAAGGCTAGGAAAGTAGACCGGTTCCCTTGAAGTACTTAGAATCTAAGATAAGAGTCACCAGTAACATGCGTAGTGCAATACTGCTCTAACTGGTTTGAGGTGAGGAGTAATTTTTGCCAGTACCAAGGACCAAGAGTCACAGGTAGACATCTGGAGGCCATGCTGGAGGGTCACTTTTGTCAAAATGAAAACAGGAGTCCCCTACATGCCACTAGAGGCATCTGAGAGATACACAGAAAAACTGTGTATGGAAACGGAGGAAAAGAATCAAGGTGGCATAGGATAGATGACTTTTTCTGTTACCACCTCTTCACCTCTCCCTAATCCTGTAGTGGGACACTGTTCCTTGCATGGCCTAAGGCGAGTCTGTCTGAGGCACAGCCCTCTTAGGCAACCACTTACTCCTTGAGCGTGTGTTACTGGCAGCATGAATATTAAGGATAATCAAGTCACTGATGTGGATGAGAGATGTTAACAGTGATCAACCTATTTACATGAAGCAACTAATGTATTATTATTATTTCTACTATGCCCACTTGAAAAAAATAAAAAAGACCTGTAGTTAATTCACCCAATAACCAAATGAGTATCTGCTAATATCTGAAGATAATTATCACCCAAGTGAGGTTAATTCACACAAAAGTCAAATTGTTATTTGCTAAGATCTGATGATAATTTTCATGGAGCCTAGTCCAACCTCTCTTATGAGTAGATAAAAAGCTGGTAGGGCTGCCTATGTTAGCAAGTTGTGCCTTCTTGCTATCTTAACTCTGTAAAAAATAATAATAATAATAATAAAATGGCTGGTTAGTAACAGGTAAACTTCTTCCACTAAGCTTGCCTGAAGTTGGCTCTCTGGTGGAAAGGACAGCTGGCCACCTGGACAACAGAGCCATGATGACACCAACCAGAAAAACAAATCCTCCCCCAAATCTGTAACTCTCCCAAAGCAGGGATTGTAATCTGAACTAGATTTGCTATTCTGGCCAGGGCTAAGGGTCAAGATCAAGTCAGGTCTTCACATTAAGACTTGAGGCCAACCCACCCAACTGCCTTTCAATGGATACCTCAAGAAGCCCTAGGCCTATGTATTAACCCCCATCTTTATACCTCACTTTCTTCTCTAGATGATTCTAAGTTTAAACTGAAGAAGGTCCCAGAGGAAATCATGATGCGTGGGCACCGATTCTCAATTCTAACTTACTCTTTGAACAACGGTAGCATAGCCCCCTTCCATTAGAACATCTGTGGCTTCATGGTCCCTCCTACCTGACAGCATGGGCAGCCCCTGAGGGCAGTTCTTACCCCTCCCCAGTTGAGAGTTCGGGCCAGGTCGTTCCCAGTCCCCAGAGGAAGGACCCCGACGGGAGGCTGAGGGCTCAGCTGTAGTTCATCCAGAATAGAAAGGATCCAGCCCACCTACAGACATTGCGGGGGCCAGAAGGGATATAAGAAAGATAGGTAAGTGACAAAGACAACCTGAGATGAAAGCTTTACACTTGCTCTGAGCCAAAAGGCTGAGAAGCGATAGAGAAGAAAGCTTTAAAAAGCAAATGAAATGGCTTGACTTTTCTTTAAAACATATATATTTGAATCTAGTGGCCAGGAAACAGACTACTTATCTGAAACGGTTTTAAAATGGCAAGTCTCTTAAAAGGAGAAGGACTGTTTGTATGTGCTGTCTTAGAAGCAAAACCAGACCCACTCATCTGTATGTTTAACTTAGAATCTACCTTAAAATTTAGAACAGTTTAAAATTTTTAGGGAGGTTAATAACATAGGCACTGGAGACAATACAAGACTCAGAATCAGATTGAATTTCAATTCTGGCTCATACTGGCTACATAATCTTGATTAAATTATTTAACCTCACTGAGATTTCTTTATCTGATTTTCAAAATGGAGATAATGCCTACCTCACAAGACTGTTTACAGATTAAACTCAAATGTATATAAAGCCCTCCATGTGGTCCATATAAGCACTCATTAGTTACCCTCCAAAACATCATTGTAGAAATTAGTAGCATTTTCCTAAATATCCCTATATTCTTTTTAATGAAACATCATGAAAACATAATTATGGATGGTCCTAGTACTTATTATAAGTTTAGTTAGAAAATGGATACTTATATACTAGAATCATATTCCCATTTAATCTTTTTCTAAGATAAACAATACTTTAGGCTTGGTCTCATAACTACTTAGAATAATTACTCCAAACCTGGAAATAGCAAAAACAAAGTTGCATATCCTCACAATGTCATACTAAAGTAGTGTTTCACAGGCTAAGAACTTTATGACTGTAGGTTAACAGGAATGTTTGTCCTGTGGAGATATGAATGTTGACAATAAAAGATTATGTTGAAGATTTGGTTTTATTCCCCCATAAGGCCATAAACCAATTATGTCTCAAATTTAGAAAAATTATTTTGGTATAACTATATAATCCTTTCCCTCTACTTCTCCAATAAATCAACTTTATCTTCTTGCTGATTCCTTCATTGAAGAACTAAATAAATTTGACATGTATTTATTCTATATTTGTGTGAGTCTTATTCAAAATTTTTTTGAAAATTATACTTTGACAGTACCTTTATTGAACACTACTACATATAAAACACAGAACTAAGCAAATGAAATGAGCTGGGCTAAAATAAGTAAGGTAGATGGCTGCTCTCAGGGAGCTTATAGTGAATAAAAAGAGGAACATACCATTGCTGATTCCTGAGCGAAGTTCTGTAACTATATTATTAAAGTTCAAAACAATTCTGTAAGGTAGGAATAATTCTCATCTCCATTTGATAGATACAGAAGCCAAAATTTGGAAGATTCAATGACTTCCTTAATATCATATCATTTATATAATATAACTGGCATTCAAAATCAGGTATGCCATAAACCACGGCTAACCTCTTAACCACTCTGGTGCAGGGAGCCTTTAAATAAAGACCTAAATTCTGTTCTGGAATATGGCCTGGATATGGCCTGACTGTGCTGGAGACAGTGGTTTTTGTACTTTTGAAATCTTTGGAGTGCTGGAGAAGTCTTAGAAATTGCTCAAATTCAGTTAATTTGCAGATTTATTAATAAATGAGGTGCAAAGAGGTCATGTAATTTGCTCAAGGCTACATAACGAGGAGTGTCAGCATTGGAATCTTATCAGGTCTCTTGATTCCATCTAGAGACTCCATCCTTTCTCTATCCCAATATTTCGTCCCAGGATGTAAAACTTGACTGTCCATCAAGAAGCCTAAAATTGTGTTTGCCTTCTAGAAGGGCATTATCACCATGGTCTCCCAATATGATGGACTAAAACTCCAGAAGTAAAGAAGAGCCTGGAAGTCCCTCCATTCCCTCAAACCCGGCAAATCTCTTGTGGATGACTCATTAGATTCTGACCCCATGTGTGCCTAGTCCTTCTACAGACGGTATTAACAAAGCTTGCTGTTGAAGTGTGGGTCAGATGCTAACGAGTTCTGATGCCTCTGCCGGCTACCATCCCTGTGCCGCTGAAAGCACAGACTGCACACAGTAGGTAGCTCCCCTCTAGGAAACGACAAGACAGGGAAACAGCAATCCCAGCATCAGAGATCACAGACAACAGGCGCAAACAGTCCTGCACAGACCCAGAGCCTCTCGGAGATGCCACAGAACACAGTGGAAATTGCATCCAACAACCCCTGTGAAGAAGGCAGTCTCTTTAGAACTTTCTCTGAGAGGTGAACACTCAGGTTGCCCCTTACGAATTGTACTCACAAGTCAGTCTACTTTCTTGCAGGTAGATTTAAGTTACACTTTTTTTTTTTTTTTTAAATGCTCAGGTGAAAACAGTCTCTTTTCCTGGTAAAGATAATGTCATGTGGTCACATTTCCAATGCCCACTGCGTTCTAGGCACAATGACAGGAAAAATACATCTTCAGGGACCAGAAGCAAACCAAACACAAAATGGCAAGCCAATGAAGCCAGGAGTTTAGCTTCTGTCTGATAATAGGGAGTAAGAGGTCACATCTCCTGGCAGGAGGCCATGTATGAAAGAGGCTCCCTCTGGAAAAGGGCGTGAAGGAGCCCTGCTTGAGGCCATAACCCAAAGACAGTGGAGATGCATTGAGGCTGGAAGGAGAAAGCCTTTAAGTGGTGGGCCCACCTTCCCACTGGCTCACTGACAGACCTCCAACATAGGACATCCCCCAGGTTGGGTGCCTGAGTCACCTCCAGGAAACCTGCTCGCATCTCAAGAGTGTTGGAAACCATACAAACAACTAGGAAGGAATAGTGAAAGGAGGGAGACAAAGTAAAGGGAAAGGCAAAAACACAATAAAATAACTTCCTCTGAAGAGAAGCCTGCAAAGAAAAATTGCAAACTGCAGGAAGAAGGCTAATACCAAGATGGATGGGAAGGTCAGGGGGTTAGTCCACAGCACATGAAATAAAAACACTTTTCAAATGAGACTGAAATGAGTGTCATGTAATGTCCATAAATTGATGGGTATCTTCTAATAATCCTTTCATCAGTATATAGAATCAGTATATAGCCTTCATTCAGACCTTCTGAATGGGCTCCTGTTTTCTCAAAGAAAGTAGCCAAGAATCCATGTGATCCTGTGCTATATGGTTCCTCAGAAAGGCAGGAGCCCTCAGGACACTTGGACTTCTCACCCTCCCTCTTTCTCTCACACCTGGCCTAAGCAGAAAAGGAAAATGTGTAACTGATTTGAATGAAAGGATCATCCTCTTTCTTAGCAACTGATTTAAGAACTGCATAGATACATCCTACCTTCTTTGTCCAATGGCCAAATATTCTATTTTTCCCCTGAAAACAATCAGGGAGGTTTAGTGTTCCATCATCACATAACCCTTGAGTCACCAGACGTAACCTGCCTTTCAGAGTCAAGATAGGTCGTGAAATTCTCTCAAGTCCATCAGTGTTAGACTAACAATAGTTCTTTGGCAGAGCTGGGTCTGTATCTTTGCTTTTTACCATCCTTAATAGTTTTTCTCACCCAAGAGATGTATGACCCCAAATTGGCTTCCTCAGAAGGCCACAGAAGGTAGGGCTGAAGGGGTAAACAGAGCCCATCACACATTGGCGGGGCAAGCTTAGGTAAGCCACTCAAACTTTCCAAGTTCTCAAGACTCTTAGGGTTCTGTTATCAGCTAAATGACATGTAGACATTACGTAGCATCTGCCTCACAACAGGAAATGCTTAATTAACATCAGCTGCTACGATTAAGCTTTATTTTTCTTCCTTTTTACTTCCTTTTCCCAGAAGCAAAATGCCCTCTTTCTGTCTCTCCACTTAAAACTGAACCTCAGGGTCACAAATCAATGCCACCTCTGACCGCCATCAATCACAAAGTTTTCCAGAGACTATCCAATGCAGAAAACCCAAGCTGTGCTAAAGCAGAAAAGTGTTACAGAGAGAGAGAATGTAAAAAAAAACCACAATAGCAGGAGACAGATCTTAATAATCTATATCTGTCCTTAAAAAGCAAAACTCTATAAAAGATCTTCAGGGACAAGGCTGTTACCACAGCCTCTCCCTTACCCGGAACCGCTCTTTCGGGGAATCTGGGCTTCAGGTGCACGGCCAGGATTGTTTGTTAGGCTTTCCCCAAATTGTCTCCACCAGTCATTCCGGACCCCTTCAGTTAGATGTAATTAATCGCAAAACATAGCACTTGGCATATTTCCCACCACAACTGAAGAAAACGATCCAGATTGGGTGAAAACATTTCCCAGTTTGCAATGTTCTGTCCTGCCTTTGTGTCAGGAAGGGCAGGGCTGCCCCATATGGAAGGCCAGGCTCCTGGGCTTTGTCCCTGAGCAGAGCAGCTGGCGGTGAGGGCTGCCCGCAGCTGGGGAGTGCAGCCACTCCCTGTGCGTGGGGTACCCTAGCCGTCACCAGGTGTGGGCCCGGCTCATGCTGAGCACCATGGTCCTTCTGCGATGTACTAACATTAGAGGCGGCTGAGGGGCTGGAAGAACAGTGAATCGGCACCTTCTTTGACCAGAGCAGGTACACATTGCATTGCCTTCTAGGCTGCAAAAAGTGAAGCTGGACATAGTGAGAGATCAAAAGGAAACAAGGCCAACATTTCTGAACTGAAAGACCATCAAGGCAGCACGTAAGTTCAAATCGCTCTTTCAGATGTGTACACCACGAGTCTTCCTTTTGATATTTTAGGTTTGTACTTCATAGCTTACAAGTACTCCTGTGTTAAATGTTTTTTAAAGTCAGCCCTAAAGAAATCAAGATAGAAGGGGAGGGAGATGGGGAGGCGGGTAGAGAGATGGAGATAAGCTGAGGCTTTGGGAGGAAAAGGGGCTCGGAATGGTGGGCTTGCCACTGTCAGTTCAAGGGAAATACACTTTCTTCCCTGCTGTGGCTGCAGTAAGTCAGGGCACAGAGGAGCCTAATGTTTGGGGTGTATCCTCATCTAGGGAAGACAAGTGATCAAGAAATAAGCACGAAGTGGATGGCCCGATAGTTTAATTCCAGGCCTTTGGAAAGACGTTCACATTGTCAAGGGCGGACCAGCAGATCCACCCCCGTTACCAAGGTCAGGAGCCAGATAGGCAGGGATCACATCACACTGGGAGGGGAGGGTATGTGTGCCTTTGGGGTCTTGGTCCACATGGCCTCCAATATTTAAGCAGAGTGACAGCTATGTGGAGCTGGATAGGTAGAGATGTGGCCAAGGATGGGAAAGAATATACAACTGCCACATGACCAAAAAGCAACTTGTTTATAAACATCAAAGTCTGAGATCATTCTTGAGTTAGGGGAGTTTCCTTCCAGCCTAGAGATCAAAGGTGAGACAAGCGCATCCAATAACTGCAACCATGTGGCCGCCCTGGGGCTATGCTAACCAGTTCCAAAGAGACCACACCTGCACTGTCCGCTGCAGCCTCCACTGACCACACGTGGCAACTGAGCACTGGAATGTGTCTGATACAAACTGGAGATGCTGGGAGAAATATACGCTGCATTTTGAAGACAGCACGCATTGAAGAGAAACTATCTCATTAGTGATTTTTCCATGATCGCATGTTGAAATGACAATCTTGTGGATATGTGAGGTTCAAAAAAATGTATTTCCCCTGCTTCTGACTTGAAGTGACTTCTAGAAAACTTGAAAATGTGGTTTGTATCGTTGTTCTCTTGAAGAACAACGGTCTATACTATTACAATGCTGCGACTATGAAGACCCTTAGAGACCCCGGCGTATCCCTTTGCAGACCTATAAGGTCTCAAAGGAGGGTAAGAAACCTTGTTTCTTGTTGGAAGTCACAGAAACATAGGCACCCAACCAGCTCTTCTGCTGACAAGAGCAGAGCTGGGAGATGGGTTATCTAAAAGTGTAAGGAGGGGACGCCTGGGTGGCTCAGTGGGTTAAAGCCTCTGCCTTTGGCTCAGGTCATGATCTCAGGGTCCTGGGATCGAGCCCCACATCAGGCTCTCTGCTCAGCAGGGAGAGTGCTTCCTCCTCTCTCTCTCTGCCTGCTGCTCTGCCTACTTGTGATCTCTCTCTGTCAAATAAATATATAAAATCTTTAAAAAAATTTTTTTTAAAAAGTGTAAGGAAGCAGAGTGACACAAATAAGCAGCGGAGCCAAGAACTTGTTTCCAAATTAACACAAGACATCTATACATGAAATAATAATTTGTGCACAAACTAATGCAGATAAGGGTTAATACAGCCTCCTCTTAATCAGTCAAAAAAAAAAAAAATTCCATTCCTGAATCTCCCTGGGACACTGTCACTGTGCTGACAGAATTCTGACAGCTTCCATGGTGATTGATACGCTCACCGAGTAAAGGCTGGATGCCTTATGTCACACGTACGCCTGATACTCTCAAGAATTGTTCTTCACTTGCCTCAAGCCATAAAGCTTTCTTCATAAATCCATCAGGAGGCCTCGCCTTTACAGAAACTCTGCTCCTACTCAAAATTAAAAGTTTCATATTCTAAATGAATCAGATTAAAAATATCAATCACTTATCTAGAAAAACATTTCATAAACTCCAGGCCTCTTCCACAACACATCTATTTTAGCTAAGTAAAGAAATAAAATAAAACCTGGTTACATATAAGGTACAACATAGGCCAAGTCTTGATTCTGAGTGATTAAACTACAGAGATTACTGTTGAGAAAATAATTAGTACAAAAGTAGGCACTGACCTTTGGGTAAATCTGCTACTTTTCTTTGGGGCATGCCTGTTGCAAGGGACCTGAGTAGAAATGTCTAGTGCATTTGTGAGGTATGGGAGGTGGAAACGGAAACCAGGAACATCAATATGGTCCCTAAGAGGTAAAACTACCTAGAACATAAAAGAAGAGTAATATCTAGCCTTGCGGAGTACCTATTAATTATGGTATATTTAAAGAAAGGAGGATAGAAAAGACAGGCTAAGTAGGAGAACGAGGGAGTCTTCATGTCAAAAAGGTGTTATTAATGGCACCAGGGCGTACTCACAGATATCCAACACTGTAATTGGGTCTGGTCTTTAGGATTCATTAACAATCTACCAAGTCTCACTTGCTTGTCATTCTGGGTTTTGTCCCAGACACGCTATTGAGATGGTTTTCTTGAAAACCACTAGTTACCTCCTAGGTTCCAAAATCGATAATAATTCTCCAGTCTCTCCTTCAGGATATAACCACAGCCTCTTTCCTGAAACTCCTCTGTATTTTGTTTTTGTTTTTTTTCTTGACAGAATAGACTAGTCCTTTCTACTTCGATCTTTTCATTCTCCTTTGGAACTCTGGCCTGGACTCCCTAATTGCAGCTGTGTCGCAAGTATCCAGACTTGGCTCTCTTTTGTCCTTTAGGCTTTAAAGCTCCAGGTTTTCAAACACTTCTCTAGTTGCACAGAATGCCTCAAAACCACATAACCTAGAACGTGTGTCCTACACATACCCGCTGAGCAGAGGAAAGAAAGAAGAAAGGAGATGTGAAAGCGACCTGCCAGGAGGCTCCGGCAGGGTAGGAGAAATTTGCAAGGGGTGGCACTCAATCATTGGTGGGGCCCAAGCTGTAGAGAAGGAATGGGAAATGGATGTGGGTTTGAGGTCATGGTCACTTGGGCGGAGAAAGGGTAAGAACTCTGAATTCAGGACGGCAGGCAGAGCCTCAACTTCTCTGCTGTAGTCATTGAGATTTAAAGGAGAAAAGATGGGAGCAAATACTGAAGTCATACAGAAAGATAAGGAGATTCTAAAATAAGGAAAAGAACTGTAGTAAAGGGTCACTTAAATAAGTTTGTATTTTAAGACAATGAATCTGGGGACAGCTGAGCTAAGAACACTCTGTGTGTGGGTATGTATGTTAAATGCAATATACTAATACATATTTAATATATTTATATACACATACAAATATATACATATATATAGACACACACACACATACTATATACCAAATACATATATATCCCCAGAGGATTTTTTTGGATATAGTTCTACTAAAAAAAGTTGGGAAAATTCAAAACCAGCCTATCCCTTAGTGTATCTCCCGACAACCTACAAATGATAGAACTTTAATTGGTATTGTGGCAGAAAAAGTTCCATGGTCTAAAAGTTTTGGAAGACAATGGGTTAAATATAGTGAACTGGGTTCGGCTTCTCAGCTGTAAGATTTTATAATGACTTTTATAAGCTAATAACGTGTATTGTGAATCTTTACAAACAGTAAACACTATTTTTCCAACTAAAAAAAATGTTTTCATCTTCAGAGAGTAGCTTAAGGGGCCTGTAGAAACTCTGTTCTGTTTTTTTCCAGTTGTATTTTTTGGTATATAATGTGTATCCAATGTGGCATTAAGTGCTATGAGAGAGAGTTAAAAGATTTTGTTGCTACCTTTGAGACTATAACATTCTAATTAGGGAGATTAGAGAAAAGCCAAAGATATTTCATAATAAAATTCTAGATCCTATGAGAGCAAACTCCAAATACAGAAGAAAAAGATTGTGGGCAGCAGAGTCTAAACGTTGTGGTTCTCAGTTCTTTCCCTTTGCTGATATGCCAGCATAAGTGGAGGGCAAATGGAGAAACAAGTAAGACAAATAGAGGAAAATGTACCCATAATATTAAACTTCAGCCCAATTCTACTTTTTCTTAAAAAAAATGAATACAAAGGAGATGATCTTAAAGGCAAACCAATGTCAGTATTCTAAGTTTTATCTCTACTCATAAAAAAACAAATGCAGGGGCGCCTGGGTGGCTCAGTGGGTTAAAGCCTCTGCCTTTGGCTCAGGTCATGGTCCCAGGGTCCTGGGATTGAGCCCCACGTCGGGCTCTCTGCTCAGCAGGGAGCCTGCTTCCCTCTCTTTCTCTCTCTCTGCAGCCTCTCTTGCCCACTTGTGATCTCTGTCAAATAAATAAATAAAATCTTTAAAAAAAAAAAAGGAACAAATGCAGTAATTTTGTCCACGTACTTCTCCTTAATGATTGTGACCAATGATTAAGAACCAAAGGAAATAAGTAGTTTTTTTAAGTGAAGAATTCAGTCATCTATAACCTTCATTGTAATGATCTGGCCACATCCTTACCTTGTAGAACAGGAAAGGATACAATATAGCTGAGAGAATAAGACAATTTAGGAAGATCAAGTATGAATCCATGAGACAATAACCACATCCCTTCTAACACCTTATGGGCCATGATTCCCATGACAGAGACCTAGGTCTTAGGGAACTGGAAAGAGGTGTGGTAGGAAAGAACAAAGAGAACTGTCACAAAGAAAGCAAAAGAAAGAAGAAATAAGTGAGAGAGCTTGATTCTATTTTGAGGACCTACCGTTCCATCCCCACCACATGCCAGAATTCGCAGATTTGGTACTTTCCTATACAACTCAAGCCTGTAGAGGAAAAAGAACATGAAATAAATAAAAGAGCTCATCACTGGCCATTGCAAAGAAAACACAGGGCAAAAGAGGATGAGGGGACGTCCCCTGGAGAAAAGGCATAATTATGACGATAATAATGTCATTATGGGCATGGATCCCAACAAAGGGATCAGCGGTTGGTAGCAAAAATCATTTTTAAATGGCCGACACTGGAATGGGATTTCAGGATGTCCCAGAGTTTTATCTCTCATAATCCCTACTAATGTATTCACTCATATGATTTTCCTAATTAGTTTCGACTTCCTTTTCTTTTCCCATCATACCCCTTCCTCCTTTCTCAAAGAAAATCCTCCTTAATCAGTAGTCAGGAGTCATTATGTGTCTCCTTCTTATTTTTTGTCAGCTTTTCCTGGATTTGCTTTTCAAACTTATACTTTCCACTCTTAATCCCAGTAAACCTCTTCTGAGAGACAGGATGGCAGGAGGACGCCTGCAGCATTACCGCCACACCTACAATTCTAGCTCCCTCTCCACTCATTCACCAACACTCAAGCCAAATTTATACTCTTCAGCCCAAAGAGGGAAGACTTACTGGTTTTTCTTCATTTAAAATTTGTTTGAAATTAGATCATTTTTCATGTTGGCTCTTGAGAAAACACAATTATAGCACCCCTGCTAAAACATTTCCTTAAGTGAAGCTGTCAGTGCCTCTGTTCTAAAATACACCATCTTCAAAATCAAGTTGTTGTTGTTTTTTTTTCTTTCTGGAAACATGTCCTATCTGGCCACATTCTTTAGGAATGACCTATGAAGGCTCTGCCTAAAGTCTAGCCGAAGTGATAAGATTTTAAGAAAAGCATCCAAAAGGACTAAAGCCAGGGTAGCAGCTTTGCCTTGGTCCATCCAAATACAGAAAAAAAATACAGAAGGTTTATAGCGAACTCTAGTGGTGAAAAAGTTAATAGATTCAAAGAATGACGGCAGAAATTAATTTTTATATTTAATGTTCTCCTGAATGCTTCAAATATATGATTTGTCCATTTAATACAGGAATATTATTTCTCTAGAAATTATCTGACCTGGTTACTTTGCCTCTGGTATTGTTATTTATTTAAAAATAATTAGTATCCCTTAAGCTCTAACGTTTATCTGATGACATCCAAACTATCTCAATACGTGGGTTTTAAAATGGGAATGGACAGTAGCAGAAACAGTTCTGCTCTTTCCCACCATCTACAGCACTACCGCCACCAAAGGGAAGATACAGGACACGTGTCACCTAGGTCTAAACTTGATTTTCAATACTCCTAACAAAGACAGAATGAAACTTCTGAAGTTCAGAAGTTCAGAAAAAGGGATCGAGCAGAAATTAAAACGTCTTCCTGTCCCAGTGTGGAATCCATAGGCATAATCAATCAATCTGTCTCCAGTGGACACAGGCGCACACACACCACCTCTCATTCAAATACACGAACATATTCATAAATAAATATGGCCACTCTCCAAAGATCCACTTACAGTCTCACTGATGTACTTCCCCAAGCTGAGCATGAGTAAGTAGAAAAATGACAGATCCTTCCTCAGTGCACACTTGTAAATTATTGACAGTTGCTCGCCCGTGAGACACAAGCACACTTGAAGGATGTCCTGAGATAACAACTGTGTAGCTGGTCTGGAAGGGACTTAGCCCAAAGAAGAGTAGGAGGGGAAACATCAGACGAAGGCTTAAGGGAGGTGACCACAGTTGAGAAAGTCAATGAGGGATGGTCAGCAAGTATTTCACAAGGTAATCTAATAAGGAAGCCTGACTTCACAGCAGACGCCCTTCTCGCTTGCCCAAACCGGTACAGACCATGGTGGGCTGTTTCCAGACTTACGCATCTTTGGGCCCCTCCTGAGAAAGATCAAACACCTGCCGTGGATTCAGGTACCACATGAACATCTGCAGGACTTTGGTTCCCTGTCAGAAAAAAAAAAAAAAAAAAAAAATTTAAGACAATAGGAAGAGATTTCCAAATATTTGCTGCTCATTTAAAAAAATAAAAAATGTGTTCTTCTCTAAAATATCACCTGATTGCTATGAATAGTGTAAGACTGATGGTTCACAGACCTGTGCCCCTGAAACAAATAATACATTATATATTCATGAAAAAAAAAATAAGTAAAATATCACCTAATAATAAACAGCATGAAGTAGTAGTTAAAATCATGGGCTTTGGCCATTGATACACAGGTTGAATGTCCAGATGGGGCTTTTGTCCAACTGTGTTAATGCTGGCCATGTTCTCCAATTTCAGTGAGCCCAACTTCCTTCTCTTTAATGTGGAGATAAGAATACCTCTTTCAGAGTAAATGAAACAAGTTGGGATTGGGAGGGAGACAAACCATAAGTGACTCTTAATCTCACAAAACAAACTGAGGGTTGCTGGGCAGAGGGGGGTTGGGGGGGGTTATGGACATTGGGTAGGGTATGTGCTATGGTGAGTGCGGTGAAGTTTGTAAACGTGGAGATTCACAGACCTGTACCCCTGGGGGAAAAAATATATATATATATATGTTTATAAAAAATAAAATTATAAAAAAAAAAAAAAATACCTCTTTCACAGACTTGTCGCAAGGATTAAATGCAGTCATGTTTTGAGGAGCACAGTGGTCACAGTGTGTGGCATGCAATTAAGTGCTTACTGAATAGTAACTACTGGTTTTCCCATCACTTGACATCGAAACCCATGTAGGCAACTTATTAGTCAGTCCATGTCATTTAACATGAATTTTTACTTCATTGTGAAGACTACTTTGATCTTTGCATAACATGAATATAGACAGGATGAGCTAAGTATGATTTTACTGAAATAACTTCTCTTAACTGAAGTCAGTCTTTCTTTCTCTTTTTTGTTTTTAAGATTTTGTTTATTTATTTGACAGAGATCACAAGTAGGCAGAGGCAGGCAGAGAGAGAGGAGGAAACAGGCTCCCTGCTGAGCAGAGAGCCCGACGTGGGGCTCAATCCCAGGACCCTGAGACCATGACCCGAGCAGAAGGCAGAGGCTCAACCCACTGAGCCACCCAGGCGCCCCCTGAAGCCAAAGTCTTACAGGCTCCTCATTATTTAGGATAGACACATGTGACTTTCCTAGTTACAGCTTACTTTAACTTACTTTGACTTTGTTTCAATTTCCATGTCTCTAAGTCAAACAGTTCTCACATGAACATTTTTGGAATGTTTTAAGTGATTTATAATTGGCATTTGTAGAAGTGATCGTCACGGAAAACACAAGGCAGTTCTGGAGATCATTTCTTAACAGTGAACTGAGCAGAGAAGAAATGAAGAAGGATCGTTTCATTAAGCGGCATCAAAAGAGCTTTAAGACTGCGTAGGGTGCCCCATTTTAGGTCATTATCAGCCGCAGCAAATAGCATTTGATCAGCTGGGCAATGCGTGTCGCTTATAATTACAGTTCCTTTATTAGCTATCCTGTGTGCTCTCCCTGAAAATATTCCCAAGTCTGTACACCTACTATGCTGTATCCGAGAGTCATTCTGGGACAGCATGGTATTTGAGTCAGTAATAACTTGGGTGTTCTCATGAGGTGATTGTAAGCACTTAAAAGCCTGCAGAAATCTAGCATATTAAATAGGAGGGCAAAATCTGCTTTCCAGGGGGATAATGAGAATTAAATGAATCAGTAATAGTTATGGCTCTAACCCAGTATGTGGCACAAAATAGGCCTTTGTAAAGGTTAGTCCCTTTCTTTGTTGCTTCTTGTTAATCTATTCAGTAAATTACACTTGAGGTTGTGCGGGCTAAAGTGTAGCTTGTAATTACCACATTGTTAGGCTGGTTGTTACAGGGGCCAATGCAGGTCTTTTGTTCCACATTTCAACCAAACCTATAATTTAAAAGTTCTGCTTTATCATGTGCTTGCTATAAATTTAGGAATAACATTCTATCCTTAATTATTACAACTAATCCTTCAATTTCACCACATGACATATTTTGCTTCCTATAAAATTCAGACACAGAGCTGGACACATAATACTAACTAAATGCTGGGTTGTTCTCACTCTTCCTATACTGAGCCTTGCTATCAAGTCAGTTGGGGATTATCTCAAGTAATCTTTGACGCCTAACTGGTAGACCAGAGACATTTTAGTGACCAGCTCAAAAAAAAAAAAAAAAAAAAAAAATTCCCACTGATTTGCTCGAAAATCAGTCTTTCAGTTTTAAATCCCTAGAGGAATAGGAATGGTTAATGTTAATTACTCCTTTCCATTTCTGGCCACTAGCCCACTTTGGGGCTTGTCTCAATTCTAGCTTCTACGACACCTGTAATACTAGGTAATGAACACCTTTCAAAAATAAAGTAAAAGGGGATGCCTGGGTGGCTCAGTGGGTTAAAGCCTCTGCCTTTGGCTCAGGTCATGATCCCAGGGTCCTGGGATGAAGCCCTATATTGGGTTCTCTGCTCGGCGGGGAGCCTGCTTCCCCCCCCCCCTCTCTGCCTGCTTCTCTGCCTACTTGTGATCTCTGTCAAATAAATAAATAAAATCTTAAAAAAAAAAATAAAACCTTCCTTCTAAAAAAAAAATGAAGTAAAAGTCATTGAGAGGCGGTTTTTCTCAAAGTAAAATTTCTCTAAAAGGTTGGAATGACCACACCATTTTGGTTTTGCTTAAGTGTGTATTCATGGTGACGCCTAATGGTCTACATTTATCCTTTGGAGGAAGGGGAATTCAGACTGGCAAGTTTTGCACCGTGCCATTTCCGGGAGGCCCCACTGACCCTGTAGCCTGTTTTAAGAACACCCTCAGAGCTGCGCAGGGGTAACAGCTGTGCAGGGATAATGTGCAAAACCACACACAACAACCCAATCAGAGGTCACATTCAGGTCTGAGTGTGATAGAATTATTTCTTTTAAAAGTAGTCTTTCTAAAACATACGCAATAGCAAAACTGGCAAGGATCTGAAAAGTACTGCATTGTTTTAAATCCACCATGTCGCCTGGAGAAAAGTAAAGGTCTGACTCATTGAAGAAAGACTGTTCTCTCAGCTCTGTTGTGGCCTCTAGGATGAGCTACTTTAGGGCTTAGGTAATTCATTTCATAGAATCGAAGGGCTTGAGAAATGCTAACTCACCAGGAAAAGAGTCATTTCTTTCTCACTGACAGGATTAAGCGGACTCAGACATTTACAGAAGTGCCGTTCACTAACGAGTCCCAAACATGCTCATATCTGTCACTGGCCACAGGCCAAATCCAAAAGCTGCATTTTTTTTTTTTTTTTTTTGGAGGCTATTGTGCTGGTTTGTCTCTTCCTGCTCTTTCTTCCTCCGTGCCCCCTTTTATACACCTGCCTTTCGTCTTTGCTTTCACTCCCTCTATGGGCATGCAAAGAGCAAACCAAGATGTTAAATCCTGGGATTACAAAGATAAAGGACATGAAATTGGCTTAGAGTTCACCAGGATTTAAGAGGAAAGAAAGACACAATGTTTGAAGAATGTTGAGCACAGTGTCTTCAATTGCTTTCCTGTTAAGGTCCTCTGGCTAGTGAGCAGGAAAGGAGGTGCAGGGTCCATGGGCTAGAACTTTCAGCCTTGGGCCTTTGTCAACCTCAAGTTTAGGTTACTTGGCGTTTTTGGTTTATTTTGTTTTATTCTTAAAAAAAGCTGCAGCTTTTCTGCAAGAGTATTCTGCTTTTCTCTAAATGGAAAAAAAACAGGTTGCGTGTTAATTCTCACACACTCCGGGGGGTTCTCATACACACGGCTGTAGCTACGTCACTGACTATAGAGCTTGTTAAGATACTGTGAGATTGGGTATTCCTGTGGAGTGATGAATAGGTCCTTACGGTTTTGGGTGCAATTATAAATGGGATTGGCTCCTTAATTTCTCTTTCTTCTGCCTGTTGTTGGTGTGAAGAAATGCAACTGATTTCTGTGCATTGATTTTATAACCTGACGCTTTACTGAATTCCTGTACGAGTTCTAGCAGTTTTGGAGTGGAGTCTTTTGGGTTTTCCACATATAGTATCATATCATCTGCAAAGATTGATAGTTTGACTTTTTCTTTGCTGATTTGGATGCCTTTAATTTCTTTTTGTTGTCTGATTGCTGAGGCTAGGACTTCTAGGTCCTTTCTGGCTCCAGGGGTTGGGGAACAGGCTGGGAGAAGAGAAAACAACTTCCCAGAAGACAGGCAGATTGTTCTAGAGGCAAGTAAACAGGATTCATCGATTCACCTACTAAGTGCCAGACACAGTACTGGGTGGGAAGAGAGAGGGATGGACAAAACAGGGAAGATTCTACTCTCTATTATTAAACAGAGGAAGTTCTAGCATTATTCATTAAAGAAAATATGATAATGGCTTGGGGGTATGGAGAGTCAATTAAGAATGAATTTGCTTCACTGGCTTATCAGTCTCCACCGAAGCCTTGTAACTCTTCCATAGCCTGAAACATGCTGGTGGGTTACTGAGCTAGCCTTGGTTTATGTCCCAGAGGGATTGCCCAGATCGCGGCAAAAGCTGCTAGGAAAGTCCCAAGGAAGATAAAAGCTAGTGGGAGGAAGAGATAAAGAAAGAATTATTTCAAACTGGCTTCAAATAACCCCAAAGGAATACTTAATTTTCTTAAAAAACACGTTAGGCTCCTACCGTGTGCCCACGTGTACACTCAGGAAGCTCAGAAAGAGGCAAATCCAAAATAAACGTGTCAGCTCTAGAACGGTTCACGGTTCGGCGGAGATGCCTACCGAGAAGTAGGAAGCCAGAGAAGGTACTCTGAGTGCCCATCTGGGGATTAGATGAAGGCATCCTGTATATGATATCTGAACTATTTCCTGAAAGACGAGTAAGGTTAACCATGTCTTTACACGTGGGGAAGAGAAAGAGGGAGGCACACAACATGCCGTGGGGACGTGACCTTCTGCACTGTGAGGCCGGAGCGGTGGGACACAAAACT